ACGCCAACCGGGACCAGGCTATGGCAGAAGCTTGTCAATGCTTCCTCGAGGCGGTCCCCACCCTGCGCCCACACGCTTCTTCTCCCCGGCCACCTCCGCCACCCCGACCGTAGGTTTTGGCACCGCGCAGCACCAATAGCAACTGCACTTTGTTTTAGGTAGGTGGTGAAGGTGAATTGAAATAATTTGAAAGATGATTGAAGATTTGACAAAAGAAAACTCCACCTCAAATTGACTTTGCCAGTTTTCCTACCTACATCCATGGGACATCCAGTTTGTTTTTCACTTTTCCTTTTTCTTCTTTTCTTAAACCTGCATCCTGTTTTTTTTTTTTTTTTTTAATGGGAACAAGGCTCCAATCTATTCGTGGGGAGCAGCACGTGCTCAGAACCGGGCCCAGCGTTCCATATAGAAACTTGCATCGAATTTTGAAAATTTGAAATACCAGGGCCATTACCCGGCTTTGGCTAAGAAAAAAACAATTTGAGCTACTTAGGAGAATACGACAAACTTCAGAATTGGACAAGATTCAGAAACCGACTCAGGAGCCCCCCATCAATCCTCTTTACCTCTCTACGGCAAGACTTACTGCAACAGAGCCACCATCTCCGTTGCTGCTATACCCTATTTCCATCCTACCAGCTAGCCCCCGTAGTAGTAGGATGCTTGATATCCCACCATCTCCCACTCACCTCAAAGACTCAAACCCCCAATCCATCACCTGTACCCCACTCCGGCAAGACTTACTGCAGCACAGCCACCATCTCCGCTGCTGCTGTACCCTATTCCTGTCCTGCCAGCTAGCCCTCTTGCTAGTAGGACGCGTAATATCCCACCTTCCCCTTCTCCCACTTACCTCAGTCCCTTTAGAAAACGTCTGAGCAATACAGAAAACATAGAAATAGACCTCCAAAGTCCTACAAATGCAAAAAACCCCTTGAAATCCCTCACTTCCAAAGCACTCCAACACTGTCCAACTCCCTGCCGAGCTCTTCCAGGTCTCACACCCCCACATCTTGCTGGGTTACAGGGCAACACAACTCACCCTAGCTCCGACCAACGTCGTCCAAGCAGCAAACCTTAGTTGTCCCGTGGAATGCCCACCCCAAAGCATCCCCAGATCTCTCTACCAGACCTCACGCTCCTGAGTCAGCAGGTCACACGGCAACACCCCAGCACCCGCCAGCGTTGTGACGAACCAATTTCTGTTCCTCGCGATTCTCTGTGCGATGACAATGAGGGGTCCTAAGATGGGAAGGTTGGGCCAATTACGCGAGATCGAGATCGAAGGATAATTGCATCAGTGTCCTCACTTTTTCGTCTTTTCTCTTTCGTCACTTCTTTTTGGACGATTGGGTTCAGGGCCGAGCAAGTCCCGAGAGGGCTGATTGAGTGGTTGTCGCGGCGACAAAGGCGCGAATAATAATGTTTGACATCGCTTCTTTCTTGTTCTGTTGTCGGGTTTTAGGCGCGGAGATCGCGCGGGAATTTTGCTTCGTTCTTTTTGAATTTCTTTTCGAATCTTGTCGAGCCCTTGACGGCTCTCGGAACTTTGGATTTTCTTTTCGGAATTTGTGTTTCTTTTTACATCAGCTAGGAATTCAGGAATTAAGGAATTTAGGAATTCGGGATTTCTTTTGTCGTGCGATGTCTTTCTTGTGCGCTTCTTTCTGCGGCTACAACGGAGCTCTGATTAGTCGGCGCCCTTAATCTTGCAAGGAACTGTAATCTTTGGGCGGGCGCCATTGTAACTGTATCTTTCTTCTTGAGCTTCGTCTTTCCCGCCCTCTCTTTCCTTTTTGTTGTGCCTGGTTGGCCCCGCGACCAGCATGCTCGGATCGATGCGTGGAGAGTGGCTACGTCCCCCACGCCGTGGTCTGGCCATGCAGAACGTAGGCGGTCCCTCTCCTAATCCCCTTTTTAATTCCTTGCAATTTTCCTTGCAATTTCGTGTTCTTCACCCATGCATGCATACTATAAATTATGGCAGGGCGATTAGATAGCTCTCTTAACCAGCTGTTGGAAGCTCGGGGTAAAGCGATCAGTGAGGGTCGGCTCACAAGCGAAGAAAGAGGTGAGTTGAAGTGGAGTTGGGCGACCCGACAAGCTGGTGCCGAATGCGCGGGGCTAACGCGTGGCGCTACGACGGACTGTACCGCGCGGGCGAACCTTACGGGTAAGACTGTAGCGCGCGGGCGAACCTTAGGGGACTAAGCAGGGTGACGACTTCGTGGGTTGGTCCGGGATGACGGACTGTCCGCATCGGAGAGAGAGAGAGAGAGAGAGAGAGAGAGAGAGAGAGAGAGAGAGAG